GAGCCAGATCTGTAGCTAGACATGCTTTCTTGTTGAAGGTAACCATTTAATGGCCTACCAGAGGAAGCACCAGCACCACCAGGCAAACCTGCAGCAGTGGGGTAAGAACTCTCAGGTGACCCATAAACACCCAGAGGACTTCGGGGCTGTGCATAGCTCTTATGTCTGGAGACAGGATTCTGATTGTGTGGAAAATCCTCAGCCATCCCAAAATAAGGCTTAATGACACTGGAGTAGCTTCTCCTGTAAGTAAGAGCTAGAAAGAGAAAATTAAAGCGACAGTGCTCTAACAGGTTAGTGATTGCATAATGTAGTTTGCACACATCAATACTTACCCTCAGCATGCTTGCTGAAGGCCAACAGTGACAGCAACAACACCCTGGAAATACAATGTGTGTTAAACAAAGTCAGTATATCAACAGATTTGCTAAAATGGAACAAAACTATTTTACCTCACACAAGGTCCAGAGGCCATCTTTCACAAAGCACAACCCAACAGCCTGCAGAGCATGCACAACAGGTTGAGAACCAATCATATAGCACTAATTTGAATCAGGTGGGCGAGATTAGCAGATGCTCTTCCATCCACCTCAGCAGCTGTTTGGAATTAAGCTAATTAGCCAGCGTAGTTTGTAGACTACTTACAGGATCAGCTGACCAAAGTGATGACAGAACTTTAACCCCTGTCTCTAATTGTTGAGGCACCCAACCATGAGTTTTTGGATGCCACCTAAATCCAGTAGAGTTGACATTCAAATTTGTGGTGGACAAGACATGTCTTCACACCAAGGTACCCCATTCCTTATTGGCCTATTATCTTAAAATGGGTGTTAAATTATGAAATATACTAAAATAAACCTAGTGATGAAAATTCAAGACTTTGGTTTCTAAAGGCTTTATGATATTTTAACATAAAAAAAACACATGCTGTCCCCTTTTTCCACTATATGGTTGTAGAAATGTTTTTAGCATTTTATTTTTGTTTAGTCTTACCAATAAAATGTAGATAGGAAGGAGTGTTCTGCAGGTTCACATTTGAAAGGAGACTCCACTCGGGCAAGTCTGCTGGACCAGACGGAGTGAGTCCCCACGTCCACAAGGCCTCTGCCCCCCAGCTTTGTGGAGTTGTCCATAAAGTGTTCATGCTGAGTCTGAGTCTGCAGAGGGTCCCGGTGCTGTGGAAGACATCATGCCTCATCCCTGCACCAAAGACGCCACGTCCCAGTGGCCCCCAGGATTACAGACCTGTCGCACTGACCTCCCACATCATGAAGACCCTGGAAAGGCCCATCCTGGACCAGCCGGCGAGCACTGTGAGGGTCATGTTCTTTTACTTTTCCACTGCTTTCAACACCATCAGGCCGACCCTCCTGGGTGATAAGTTAGCAGCGATGCAGGTGGATGCTTCTCTGGTGTCCTGGATTGTCGATTACCTGACAGGAAGACCACAATATGTGCATCTTCCACAGTGTGTGTCTGACAAGGTAATCAGCAACACAGGGGCACCACAGGGGACTGTCCTCTCCCCCTTCCTCTTCACCCTCTACACCACAGACTTCAGCCACTGCACAGAGACCTGCCATCTTCAGAAGTTTTCTGATGACTCTGCGGTGGTTGGATGCATCAGCAGGGATGATGAGACAGAGTACCGGGCTGTGGTCGACTCCTTTGTCACGTGGTGTGAGCAGAATCATCTGCAGCTCAACGTGGCAAAGACCAAGGAACTGATCGTGGACTTCAGGAAACACTTGACCCCTGTTTCAGGGGGTCAGTGTTGACATTGTGGAGGACTATAAATACCTCAGAGTTCACATTGACAATAAACTGGACTGGGCTAAAAACACATCTGCACTTTACAGGAAGGGCAAGAGGTGACGCTATTTTTTGAGGCGACTGAGGTCCTTCAACACCTGCTGGACAATGCTCGGGATTTTCTACGAGTCTGTTGTGGTCAGTGTGACCCTCTATGCTGCTGCATGCTGGGGGACTCAAAAAACTGATCCGCAAGGCCAGTAATGTTGTGGGGATGGAGCAGGACTCCCTTAAGGTGGTGTCAGAGAGGCGGATGTTGTCCAAGATAAAGACAATGTTGGATAATTCTTCCTACCAACTCCATGACATGCTAGCTAGCCACAGCAGCACGTTCAGTGAGAGACTGAGATTACCAAAAAGCACCACTGAACAACACAGGAAGTCATTCCTGCACAACTCATCCACTTAACACACTGTTTACTGCAACAGCTACACCCTTCTTGCACATGCTCTTCTTTCTTATTCAGTTTCTGATGGGTGCAGAGGGATTTATTATAAATGAATAAACCTTAAACCTGTCTGGGGTAAAGCAGACACAACACGGCATCATGGTTCACTGAGCTCATTTTATGTGAACAAGTTCTGGTAGATTTGGAGATTTTTTATGGTAAATGAAGCCAAATATAACAGGAGAAAAGATGTCCTGGGTATGTAGAAGTTTTTAAATTTAAAAGACTTTATACTAACTCAGCGTAAGAGGCACATCCTCTGATTAGTTTCAGGATAAAAGGCTTTAATATAAACTTAAATCTTGTTCTAGAGCATCAGTTTGGAGGGGCAGCATATGAAAGGTATATTTTCAAAGTAATAAACTGTTTCCTGTTATATGATATTTAATAATCTAAGGTGGTCCTTGTTGCCAGATTGATATTTTTCAGTAAGACTTCAGGAGTCCTGCCGGGCGTCTGTGACTCCTGTGGTTTATGTTCAGAAAGACACTCCTGACAAAACGTAAATCATTTTTATTAAATCTCTTCTATCGTTGCTACTTTCACAGTAATGTCATGCAAACAGTGATTTAGTCACATTACGCAGAATCAGCATGCGTTGGAAAAAGCAACATTATAACAATTCAAAGCAGATAGAGATGTTTTACTATCTACAGAGTAATGTCATTATGGCACGATCCACATTTAATGCAAAATATTTTCAAATAAAGATATTTACAGTTATGGAAACATGACCCAGTTAATAGGAACACAACACCGTTTATCAACATGCCTGCAAAAACTGGGATAAGACGAGAAACCACACGTGAAGAAAGAAAAGGGACGAGTTAAGACAATCAGCAGGATACAAAGAAGACGGCAAGTACAAGAGATCAGCAGAGGAAGGAAGAATATACACGTCTTTGAAGGTTTCCAGGGTCAGTTAGCTGAGCTTAAGGCCGAGGCAGAGAGCCAGCTCGTTCTTTTGGATCTTTCCGTCTCCGTTGATGTCACAGTGACCCATCAGGGCTTTCCTGAACTTATCCAGGTCTGTCCCACTGATGCTGGGCTGCGGAGAGAATTTATAGCTGTGAAAGTCTTAGTGGATTTAAATGCTTCAAATAAAAGTCTCTACAGGTTATTAAAACTAAGAAAGTTTTATTTAAAGAAAGTACCAACCCTTCTCTGTAAGGTTTGTTTTTAATGTTACAGAATAACTGCATTTTTGTGAGTTGTAAGAGTTATACCTTCACCAGCTCCATCATATCTTTGACAAATCCATCCACCTCAGGGCCCTCCAGTGCACCCGTCTTACTCTACACACATGTGGCATAATGTTATTTTATCATCAAGAATAACTGTGTGTCAGAACTTCAAAGGTTTTCTTTCTCTGTTCACATGAAAAATGTGCTTTGCGTGAACCAGTCCTGCTCTCTGGTTGCATTATTAACAAAACAACAAACGAATTCAAGCCCAGTGAGACAGAGATGATTATTAAAGTGGGTGAAATTCCACTTACAACGTCATAGTGAGCGAATATCTTCTCAAAGTCCCTCTTTCTGTCTTCCTGACTGCAAGCCTGAGAGCAGAATGAATATGAATAAATGAATATCCAAACTGAGCATGAAAGGATAAATATGATTCAGTCACAGTGGCTTTGTTGTTAGGTGCAGTTCATCCACTTTACACTACAAGTCTTCACACTTACATCCATCTTAAACTTCAGCAGAAAATTTTCTTTTAAGGCCAAAATTCTGGAGAAAAAAAACAGATTTTTGTCAAATAGAAATATGATGGAATCCAATAAATATTTTCAGTCCTTCAAAGGGTTTTGTGAGTGATTCTATCAGGATGCAAGGACAAAAAAAATAAAAACAAAATAGAAAAATGTTGTAAAAACATCATAAAGAGACTCAAACACAAAAGAACACAGAGAGGCTGATCGATCAAAACAAAAAAAGTGACAGGGGTGCCACCAAGGGGGGCAGGGGCCATCCCCCCCAAAATGTGCTGGCCCCCTCAGTGCTGCTTATACAATTTTTCTCATTTAGTGTGTCCCTCACGATTTCCCATCGTCACCCCCTCCCCTGTGTCACCCCCATGAAAAATTACTGCAGGCGTTGCTGCAAAAAGGTGTAAAAACACTCGTAGGTGCCAGAAAGTGAGCGATGAAACAATTCGAACAGTACCTGGCCAGGTCATTGAGATCCAGTCTGCCATCTTTGTTTTTGTCAAACATTTTCATCTAGAGGGAAAAAAAACACGTCAGAGTGAAGATGAGCCAAACTTGTTGCCCCCCCCAAATCCCAACCTCACTGCCGTTACCATGGTGTCAGTGTACTCCTCCAATTTTTTCGGGGTGATGGTCTTCCCATGTTGGAGGAACAAGTCTTGAAGAAACCCCTGAAGAAAGACATAAGGAAGATGCGTCTGTCACAGAGAAACTCAACAAATGTGCTTTTTCATTTTAATTAAGTAACAATCAATAACGATCTAATCTGTGTTGACACAATAAGCAAATCGATGATTTTTGATCTGATCTGAAATCATTTCACCACCTCTGAAAGCTCTGTCTGTTTTTCAGATACTTCCTCAGATTTGAACAGTCACCTTGAGTTCAATAGCTGAGATGTAGCCACTGCTGTCTGTGTCATAGTTTCTCCAAATCTGCAAAAAGAAAAAAAGGATAAATCCTAAAAATAAACCATTAACATGAAATTACAGCTCATCTTTGTGCCGAAGGTTGAGCCACACTGCCAACAGCCTAAAACCTACAGGTCTCCCCTTCAAGGTCCTTTCCTTGTTCACCTTTGGACCTCTTCCAGCATGTTGCACTTTTTATTGTTTCAAATATCTTTTATTATTAGGAGCAAGTATCATGGTTGTTACAAATTGATAGATCTTATGCCCCCTTTTTTTCTCTAA